GAACGACAGCTCGCTTTCCTGCGGGAAGTCTCTTCTCTTATGGTGGTCCTCATGTCAACTACTGACAGCAATAATGAAAACCGAAAAATAGTTCGTGACTTGTGCCAGTCATCAAAACCCCTGATCTGTTTGCTGGATGACAAAGAAAAAATCGTGGTCAATAAATCCAGCCAGAAAGTGAGGATTGGGATCAAAAACAGAAATGAAGCAGATTTAACACAAGAGCTCACAAGTACTATCAGACGTTTGCTACAAGGATCTGACACAATTCGCAGCTTAGAGGACTGTGCTCAGGTTGCCCGAGAGCAAGGATTCCTAGTAGATGAAGACCAGAAGGATTGTCAGGAGGCCAAAGAGAAGGCACAGGCTCTGAATGTGCTCTTGGGAGAAATGGAGTTATCTAAGATGAAGGAAAATGTATTACCCCTTCAAGGAGAGCTATGGCACCTTTGGTGTAAGAAGGACAAAGAACTCTACCATCTGAGAGAAAAGGGGAATAGGAGCATTGAACAGCACAAGAGTGAGATTGAGGCAGAGAAGAAAAGAATAAGGCAACAACAGTTGCACAAAGCCTTTCCTCTGAATGATTTAGTACAATCTGTCCTAGAAATTCTCCAAAAACAATCTGAAACTCACACTAAGCTTTACTTCATTCACTGGCTGAGTGTATTTTTGAGCAACCTAACCATGGCACACTTAGAAAAACTTTGTGAAAAGCAAAGTTCTTTGTGGTCACTCATGGAAACAGAAAAACAAAAAGATCCAAAGAGTAATTGGCTCAAAGAATGCCAGAAACAGATAGAAGCCATCGCCAGAGAAATCAGTGACTGCTCTTTGGGAATTGAGCACATTCTCAGGGAAGTTGGACAGATATATGAAGCGCTGGAAGAAGTTTCTTCCACAAGAGATCTCCTTTTCCTCTCCCTTCCCCAAATTGCTGCAGATCTCATGATATCTGGGGCTCCGATTGAGCTGATGGATGGGGACGCGTCTTATGTGGCTCTGAAATGGGTGGCAGCTGTTTTTGACAAGATTTCTGAGAAAATTGGAAACAGAAAGCTGTTTGTTCTCTCTATCCTTGGCCTGCAGAGCTCGGGGAAGTCCACCTTGCTGAATGCCCTCTTTGGGTTACAGTTCACTGTCAGTGCAGGCAGGTGCACCCGAGGGGCCTACATGCAGCTCCTGAAAGTGGAGGACACGTTCACAGAGGAACTTGGCTTTGACTATAT